AAAATTGAGCTCAAGGTAAGGTGGATGTGCCATTGAAATATATATGGTTGTTGCCTTCCCTGCATCTGGTTCATCCAGTCCTGAGATGCACAGCACAACCAGCACCTCTGCCATAAGTATTTGCCCTGCTTAATCAGCTGCTACTTTAATGACCTGATTCACCTTTAGGTCAAGCAATTTGTTTTACTTCATCCATCAGATACTTACAATCATTTACTAAACCACACTTGAAAAATTACAGCTAAAATCTGGTGACTACAATCATCGTGTCTGTTTTTCACTCTTTGGTGTTTAAGAATTCTTCAAATGTCTTTTAATAGTGCTTGTCTCTTTTTGTAATTTATTATATTGTTCTCTTTATTTTGTATCTTACAGCCTTCTTGCCATAACTCAAAATGTCCAAGGTAAGAAAAGTGATGATATGCAGTATGTGACTGAACGTATAAATATATGGGACTTTTCACATTGTCAATTCTGTCTCTGGTTACAGCTCACTTGGCCAGCTTTTGTAACTGCCGTCACTCGCTGACTGGCTAAAATGCTGCAGAATCTTTGGTTAGCAGAGAGGCAGAAGCAAGGCATTGTAAGCAATCAAAATTGTATTGCTTCAGTTCATTAAATGGCCTGTAGCTTGGCGGAAAAAGAGCTAGAGTTAGGATCTCGGGAATAGTAGGTAAGAAGAACCTAAAACAGAAGTATGGCAAAAGCTCTCTAGGGTCACGGAGGGGCAGGCAGAATCGGCTGATATCAGACCAAAGCCTGCTGTCAACTGACGTCACAGAGCTGCTCCAGGATCTTGACCAAATTGTTATGATCTGCCCAGTTACCTGATTGACATCTGGCTCCAGCTGTCAACACTCATCTGAGAGCCGAAGCAGCTGCCCCCACCCTCTCTCCAGTCTGGTGCTTCATAAGGCCTGGGGGGTAGAACAGAGAGCAGTGATTGACAGTCACTGCTCTCTGCTCAGCAGACTCAAGAACTGAGGGATCAGCAGTAATGTGATCGCTCCGTTCTCTGCTTAGAGCTGGAGGGGGACAGCTGCAACATCAGATCGATGCTACATCATAGCAGTGAATATGGATCTGTTGTGTTTTTTGTTTTGTTTTTTTGTTAAAAATCCTAAACTTCTACTTTTTCAAGTGGAGTTCCACCCAAAAGTTCCGCTGCCATGTTTAGGACCTTTTGGGGGGGGGGGGGGGAGTGAGTGGATACCTGGTTTTGACAGGTACCTACTCCCACTTCCATCTCAGTTGAGACAGAAGTTCATGCCCCCCAGCAGCCCTCTGGGACATTTCACAGGTCCCAGAGGACTGCGGCCCACTCACAAAGCACAACGCGCTTCGCCCATGTGCAGTAGGAAACCAGCTGTGAAGCTGCAAGGCTTTACTGCTGGTTTCCCTTAGTTAGGATGGCAGCGCCAGCACCCGACAGCCAGTTGAAGAATCTGCTCAGGGTGAAGACACCGCCGGATCCCTGGACAGGCAAGTGTCCTAATATTAACAGTCAGCTGCTACAGTATTTGTAGCTGCCGACTCTTAATGCCTTTTGGCAGTGGCAGGGGCCAGAAAATGCACTTTCATTAATTGAAATAATTTACTATGCGCATCCTCTGCCTGCCACAGACAATGAACAAGCATGCAGTAAATAAAATATGAAAGGCAGAACTCCTTACCAATTATGGTATACTTTTATATTTGTGATAATCCAGTATTACACATGCCTACTTTGAGCACGAACACTGCATTAACACTCATAGACCATTTCCAAAATCTCTGCAGAGGCTGATGTCTTTTCTCCACAGCAAAGGGATTAATCATTTTTAAATTGTTCGAGTGCTTGCATTCAGCATTGCCTGAGGCAATGTAAATTAACTAGTCTGCGATCTACCAATATAGCAGCCTTAAAGTGACGCTTTAAAATATAAAGTACTATGTATTCTTAATTTAAAAAAGCACCTCCACTAAAATGGACTATGGGATGTGTAGTGTACGTAGAGTATGACCTCAACTAAACTTGCTACAGACTAACAGAAGTGAGAAAGCGGAGGTTCAGGAGCTCATTGATTACATTGCAAGGAAGAAGATAAACACGGTAAGAAACAATTTATTGAAAAATAGATTAGAAGGCTATTAAGTAGTGGATGTGTGCGGATTATTTTTGGAGAATAAGGATATAGTTTAGTGTCCCTTCAAGTAGGGGCTTTGAGATGTAGAGGCTGTCCGGACACAGCCTCTCATCCCTACTTGAAAGATGAGCAGGTAAGCAGCCCTGAACGCAGACTCTTTGCATTCAGGACCACTCGCTTGCATGGCTGTCCAATTCGGATGAGCAGCCGTGTCTGTGCTACTGCATCCCGATGGACATGAATGGACTGCCTACACGCAGCACCTGACATTTGTGAACTATGGGTGTCGGTGCCTGTCTGAAGGAGGCCTTAGACCCTTTACAATCTAGTAATGGTCCTCACCAGCAACAGAATCTGTAAGATTCCAGTCCCCATCTTTAGTGAAGTGGCTCCCTCACTGTCTGTTGAGCCAGCAAGATATGTTCTTCAGCTGCTCCATTGCTAACAACCAAAATTCTGCTGTGTTTGAGCCAGCAAGAGTGACTGACAAACGGGGGGGAAAAAAAATTATAATTTCAGTTTCAAAAGTTTGATGTACAAAGCTTTTACAGTTGCTTTTCAGGGATTACTAGAGAGCTGTTACACGATAAAGGGAGCAATGAAGTTCATCCGACAGCCTCTTGGCATAGGTACCATTAGACCACTTCAATGTTTATTTAAAATAAATATCCAGTGACGTGTAAAAAATTATCAGGTCCTCCCTTGGGGCTCCTCTTCATGGCTTACTTTCGGAATTTTTAGGGGTGGTAGCATAACCTTGCAAGCTAAATTTGAACTGAATATCTTAAAGTGCAACTTCACTCTCTCAATCAACATTGACTATTTTGAATCTTTAGGCTGCTAGGATTAGTAAATCGATGTTTAAACTTTTTTTTTTTTACATTTCTTTAGTTAATTCCTAGTTTCCATGCCTAGTTAAAGGATGTCATACATGATACATCCCAGGAGTCTTCAGGAGGGGAGGAGGGGTTGTCTCAGCTAAGCATACCCTTCTGCATGCATGTCTGAGCTAAGGGCAAATGGATTCCAGGAAGTAATTGCTACATGGAACATCTGCCCGTTTTCTCAAGATGGCCACAGCAAAAAATGCTAGGGGGTGTTTTTCTAGGTGATTTCTCAGCAAAATAAAGCATGGAGTTTGCTTTGAATATTAAAAATTAACTAGCACTTTTGGTTTGTGGCGCTCAGATACATTCTATCCACTTTAACCACTTGCCCTCTGCCCTATAGCAGAAATACTGCTGCAGGGCTGTGCAAAATTGCGTATATAAATGAGATTTGCATTTCTGGGTAGGGGGCGGGTGCACGTGCTGCCCTACCCGCAACGCTATTGGCGGCTAGAGATGTCAATCACCAGGTCCCAGCCAGTGAATCCTGGCCGGCACTCGGTGATCGTTGGGAAAGCTGACGGGAGAGACCTGTGTGTAAACCACACAGGTCTCTCTCCTGTCAGCAAGGACATGCTGTTATCTCTCTGCACAGCAGAGAAAATACCACCGAAAGAAAGCTCTGTTTGTATGGGGAAAAAAAAAAAAAAGGACATAAATTTAATTTATGTACAGCTTTGCATGACCCCGCAATTGTCAGTTAAAGTAATGCAGTGCCGTATCGCAAAAAAATGGCTTGGTTAAGAAGGGGTAAAACTTTGTGGAGGGCAAGTGCGTAAATAAAATTAATGCACGCAGTTTGTCACTGTTTTTTAAAGTGTCTACTTACTGTTGAAGATCCTTCTGCCAGTCTACACTGGGTTAGGATGTTTGAAGAGGCCCTCAGAAAAGGGGTACTTTTTTTTTTTTTTTTTTTTTAAAAGGTCCACTGCCATACTGATATTAGTATGGCAGGTGGACTGTGTGCTTGCTCCTTCCCTACCATAAAGATGCAAGACAACCTGCTGCATTTTTATTGTACACTACAATGATTTGGTGGTTTGGAATAATTATGATGCATAGCACTGAATGTGACATTCACTGGGTAAAAATGGGTTCCAACAGTAGGAGACCCTTCCCATTGAAGAATAGATGTTGACCAATGTCTGAATGTACAGGTGAATGTTGAATGCGTTTGATAAATAAGCACTGTGCTCAGTAGTTCCATCCACTGGTTCCTGCATTACTACTACTATATGTTCTGTAGTAATATAGGGTCCCAGGAAGGATCCGCAGAGCATAGCAGGGGACCAGGTATCTAATAAGAAAAAAAAAAGTGTGCCCGATTTGTGAGCATTCTACAGGTAGCTGTGTATCTGCAATATAGAGTGTGTGTGAAGGGAGAGATCGGCGTGAACTCTTTGCAGGGAACACTTTTGTTTTTATTTTTTATTCCAGTAGATGGCTTAAGTTTTGTTAGTGCATTTTCAACATGCTCTACTGAATTTATAAATTTTGTATTGGTTACATATCTAAAACTTTTTAACCAGCAGTGTAGATATCGGTGTAGGTGATAAGCCCTGTCATGGTGCATTTGCAGATTTTTGTGTAAAACTCATGAATTTCTCAGGTGAAGTCCTATATCTAAACCCCCACCTCCCAATCTCAGCTGCAGCAGCACAGTGGATACTTTGTAGAGCTTGCTGTAGTTTATTTTATCCATTGTATTCTGACCTTTTCAGGCTGCTCTGGAAACACAATGCTGCTGCTGTTGTATAGTGAATACCTCCCTGCACCTGTGTTTTTTTTTTTTTTTTTTTTCTCAGTAATGTTAAAACATTGCTGTACAGTATTTGACTTCTAAAATCGTTACTGTGTCTTGATAGATCAAAGTCTATTTGCAGAATGTATTGGGGCTCATACATCCCCATCAAAATGTTTCTTTACTGTATGTATTAAGTTTTATCAGCAAGAATAAAAATGTTTTGTTTTTTTTTTTTCTTTATTTCAGCAACAGGCTCAGTTCACGAACCCTGAGAATCCAGGGTATGTTGGATTTGCGAATCTCCCGAATCAGGTTCATCGTAAATCTGTAAGGAAGGGATTCGAGTTTACGCTAATGGTTGTAGGTAAGTGTTCTACAGCATGTTGCAAGTCTAATTCCCTTTTTTAAGAAAAAAAAAAAATTAGATAAGTGAAGCATGAGAAGTTTACAAAGCCTCTAGTCCAGTATATGCATTGAAAGAGATTGGAACATCTGAAGAAGGAAAAACAAATTGCTTGGTTCAATAGTTCTTCGCATCCCTGCTGACAATCTCTTAAAGCAGGGGTGTCAAACTTAATTTCATTGCGGGCCGTATCAGCATTATGGTTACCCTCAAGGGGCCGGTTGTATTTGTAAGACTAGATGTCCAGAGCACCCCACCCCCATTACATCAGATGTCAAGAATCCCACCCCCTCCCTAACATCACCATGCACCCCTTTTTGGGGGCGGAGCTGGAAAGCAGAAAGTGCAGGGTTTGGAGGAGGATCAGAGGAGGAGTAGAGTCAGTTACCAGAATCTGCTGAATGCTGAGACCAGGGGAGGCAGAGATGAGGGGGGCTGCAGCTGCATGGAGAGGTGCAGGATTTGGCAGAAGAGTTCTTTTCTCTCTGCTGCCGACTGCTGAGACAAGGTGGGGGCGGAGACAAGGGGGTACCTGCAGGAGAGGTGTAAGGGCCACATGAAATGGCCTGGAGGGCCAGATTCGGCCTGCGGGCCTTGTGTTTGACACCTGTGCCTTTTAAAGTGTATGTCCAGCCAAAACTTTTTTTCTTTTTTTCATTTTAGATAGAGTAGAGAAGGGTTACAACTAGGGATGCACTGATAATCGGTATCGATGCCAATACTGAGTATTTTCATGACTATTTGTACTCATGAAAATAGTACTGATAACTTTAACTGATACTTTTGCGGTGCGATTTGCGCTAATGGATGCAAATTGCACCACAAAGATTAGCATGTGATTCCTGTCCAAATCACATGCAGGTTCCTCACTGCTTCTGTGTGAACCTTCGCTTGTCATAGCCCGAGTCCACATAGGAGTGGTGTGGGAAACCACCCTGCAGGCATCCCATGCTTACTGTCAGTGGTAGGAGAGAAAGTGGCGGGGATTTGAAATCCCTGCTGCTCTCTTTCCTCTCCTTGCAGCGACAGTTCGGGTTAGATGGCATCTGATTGTTCAGCAGCTCTGCTCTTCTACCATTGACAGTAAGCATAGGATGCCTGCAGGGCGGTTTCCCTCACTGATCCTTTGAACTCGAGCCATGACAAGCTTGAGTTCACACAGGAGCAGTGGGGAAACCGCATACAATTTGGACAGAAATTGCATTCCTGTTCAAATCGCATGCTATTCTTTGTAGTACAGAATGTACAGAGTTTATGATTTTGTTGTTGCATCATTAAATGCTACACTTAGAACAGCTTTATCTTCTCTGATTCCTTGGCATAACCAGCAAGGATCACCTGTCATAATCCCTTTTATACACCTTTTGATGAATCCATTGGCAATTTTACATAATTGTTGATGGAGATCATTTTTGGAGGAACCTTAAGTGAATGTCTTGGCTTCTAAAACACAATGTGATATATGACCACCGGAATGGGGGGTCATATATGTCTGGTGAGTGAGCCATTCATTTGTCTTTGCACCAAGGTGTGGATCTTCTTGTCACCATTATTGAGCCTTAAAAAAGGACTGTTAAACTTTGTTTATTTAGCACGTGGTGGAAGCACAAGGACTTTTTATGGCAATAGGATTCATATATGGTTATGGAATATTTTGTTTGATGAACAGTTCACCAACAGGTTGTCCACCCACAGATAACAAATATCCAGCAATTATATTGGGTTCGTTTGGGTGAACTCCTGTTTTTTATGCACAGCACCTAGCTATTCATTATTCACATACAAGTGTCACCTTCACTTTTTAGGGGCAGCTGTAAAACCCCCTGGGGGGTAAATATTAAACACCAATTTAATTCTTTATCATTTTTTATTTTTTTATTTTATATCAAGTATCTGGTGCCACAATAATTTATTATTTTTTGAATGTTAAAAATTAAGCAGCATATCACATTCATGAGGCATCAATGCTTGTCAGCCACCTCCATTGATGTCAATGGTATGCTCTGTAAACGCACCTGAAGCAGTTATGACGTGTTAGTGAAGCAATTATAAAGTGATAACTGGGCACTGGGGAAGTGGCAGTGAAGGTTCCTCTATCCCAAAATGTACTGCAAAATAATAGAGAACTAGGACAGGGTAGCTCCAGCCACTTGTTTGTACAGAGCAGCTATGTGGTAACACTATTTGCTTCTGTGTACAGGCAAAAGCATCAAGCCAGCCAACAATACTGCCAGTTAAAAGCAGAGGCACTGAGCATTATTGCCAGTAGCAAAGCTTTTTGTTTCAGCAAAGTTGAGCTGGACCAAGCCAAGTATCAGAGATCAAAGTATACGAATTCATCTTTGCAGTGAATTCACAAAAATGCTGATAATTTCCTCTACATCACTTCTCCTTTGAAGTGATTGTAAAACCCTACATACACCCAGTAAAGTGACTGGCCTTAGGTGATACACAGAGATGAAACAAATCCTCCTATATAAGTTGTAGCTGTGTATCTGCAGTAATTTCTTCTGTAGATCGTTCTGAAAACATAAAGATGAAAGGATTTCTTCTTCGTTCTTGGGGCAGGGAACAGAAGTCTTCACAAATCTGAAAGCTCTGAGCCCTGACTGGATGGAAATGACAAGCCCATCTTTTACACAAGCACAGCTGTGGATATGAGTCATAGGCTGAGTGCTGCAGCTCCCTGCCCATCATCTTTTTAACCACTTTACAACCATGCTATAGCCAAATGATGGCTACAGCGCGGTTGTCCAGTTCTGGGAGGGTGTCATGTGATGTCCTCCTAGAAAGCGCACCCAGCACAGTCTGTGATCACTGTGTCCTACAGACAGAGCTGATCACATGACAAGGTAAAAGGCAAATTGCAGCGGCCTTTTACCATGTGATCAAATGACACAGCTGATCACAAAGTAAATACAGTTGCCGGTTATCTGCAGCACTTTCTTCACGCTGTGACAGCGTGAGGAAAGTACTGCCAATAACTGGCAAGTGTCAGAGGACATCTGCACTGATAATCAGGGCACTGATGATCAGTACCCTGATTATCAGGGCAACCCCAAAGGTGCCCATCAGTGCCAACCATCAGTTCTGCATCATCAGTGCTGCCTATCCGTGGCCATCAGTGCTGCCTCTCAGTGCAGCCTCATCAATGCACATCAGAGAAGGAGAAAATTTACCCGTTGCAACATTTTATAGTAGAAACAAAGAAAACGTTTTATTTTCAAATTGCTCTTTTTTGTTTACAGTGCATAAAGTAAAACACCCAGCTGTGAGTAAATACCACCAACAGAAAGCTCTATTTGTGTGAAAAAAAAAATTCAAATGCAGTGCAGCCACAAAAGTGCCTACCAGTGCTGCCAGTCAGTGTCCATTAGTGCTGCATATCAGTACAGCATTGGTGCCTCCTCATCAATTCTTGCTAGTGCTGCCTATCAGTGCAGCCTCATCAATGAACATCAGTGAAGGATTTGTTTTTATCGTGCAAAGAATAACCCCCCCCCCCCCCATTCCCAGTGGCAATTAAATACCACCAAAAGCTCTGTTTGTGTGGAAAAAATTTATAAAAATGTAATATCTGAAAGCTGAGAATTGGCCTAGGCAGGAAGGGGGTAAATGTGCCCGGTAGGCAAGTTGTTAACTCTTGGTGTCAGAAAAGCTGCCAGAAGTGACTCATGCCAATAACGGAGGAACCAGGCAGCAGAAAGAAATGTCACTCATAGTTTTGGCGAGGGACACGTACACAGTATAGTAGTATGTGCTTTTTATTATTTCATGTCTGAGGTTTGCAACAACTTTTAAGTACTTCCCATTAGAAAAGCAAATCTTCCACGGGCATTTATCAAGCATTCTTAAAGCCTTTTCAAGGCTTCATAAACAAAGAAAACCATATCATAAATGTTATAGGCGTGTTAATGAACATTGCTTTATTCTTCACAATCAACACAACTGAATAAGACCTAAGAGTGATATGCCATCTTTTTTTTTTTCTTCCTTTTTTTTTTTTTTTTTTTCTGCTGATGCTTTAGTAGACGGGAACTCTCGAACCGCAACATAGACACTTTTTAGTGGGTTCAAGAAAGGTTAGAGCCCCAGTTGTAAATTTTCTCTCCCTTTACTGTTGAATCCGTTGAAAGAAGGACATGAAGTGAAAAAAAATCCTGAACTCTGAATAGCAGTACAGGAGTTTTAATCCTTCCACATGCTATTAAAAACAAGACAGCTACTTTATAGCTTGATATTCACTTTTTAAAGCCCAATTGCAGCCTAACCTGATCCAAACTGAAATGACACAATATGACAAACACTCTTCATTTCTGCATCCTTCTGTTCCAGTAGCAATACTGTATGAAAAGAGAAGGCACCTAACACATGCATAATTTGAAGTCTGTTTTTTGCCTGAACACCAGGATCCAGTCAACAGACATGCATGATTCTTTTGTTATAGCAGCCATCAGTTTCCAGCTGGTGCTATACAGAGTAGGTAATGTGTGGACAACCTATAAACTTCTGGACCTGCCCTTACAGTTCAACCTGTGCAACGCTGTAAATCATGTAGTTCTCTTTTCACTGCTAAATATGAATGACTATTATCTCCAAAGGCTAATTCTGTATAATTTATGGTGTTACATAATATAAGGGTAAATTGTGACAATGTGTACAGTGAGAATGACAGTTTTTTGTTCCAAATAGAGAAATTAAACTTCCATACGGATGTGCAAATTATTTGATTTCTGTTATTTTCTTAGCTTATTTTTTGTTTTTTTGTTTTTTTTTTCTTCCTTTTGGACATCATGGTTTATACCTATTTTGAGGTTTGCTGCCTTTATCTTCATTGGAGAAATATATCCCATCAAGTCTGAATTTGAAAAGCATGGGGTGTGATGAAAAACTCTCCAGCTTAGACATGGATATAATCACATATACTGTTTTTAAGAGTGGAGAAGGGTAGAACTTCTCATGATTTGATTGCTGTTTGTGCCCCTATTGTAAACATTTTACCTGAATCTTTTGTGTCACCAGACCAGGAACTGGGAAAGACGTTTTCTCCAATGAGATTCATATTTAAAGCTGAACTTTAGGCATATCTAAATGTGTGAGCAACACAAGAAGCCAAGCACTTCATGTACTGGCAAGAAGCATGCTGACAGGAGGAGAAAGCAGTGTGCCAGAGAGGAGCTCATCACTGTGCTGCTTCTGAATTCACTGTCCAGTAACAGGCTGGGGTCTCTCCAGGAGGATCTGGGCTCAGATAAAGTGGGTTGAATGATGCTGGCCATCAGACTAAGGACCTCTAGTTGCAGAGAACATCTAGTCTCTTTTCTGCTAATTTGTTTGAATGTAGTAGTACTCTCTACACTATATTTCCAAAAGTATTGGGACACCCCTCCAAATCATTGGATTCAGATGTTCCAATTACCTCCATGGTCACAAGTGTATAAAGTCAAGCACTAGGCATGCAGACTACTTCTACAAACATTTGTGAAGGAATGGGTTGCTCTCAGGAGCTCAGTGATTTCAAGTGTGATAGGTTGCCACCTGTGCAATAAGTCCATCCGTGAAATACTTTTGGCAATATAGTGTATGCAGCTTACTTTAAACATACCAAGTCCTAAAACCCTACAAAGTCATTTAAAAAGTTAGAAATAAAATCTGATTTGTAGATGCACCAGAAATTCATCTAGTATTTCGTAAGGTTCTTCATAACTCATTTGTTGTAGACAGACAAGAATATCCAATAGGTCTATACAGGTATCTTTGTGGAAAGTGGACCCTTCTCAATGACAATTGTTCATAGATGGATTTTAATGGCTGAAGATGTCTGAAACTGACTGCAACTAATCACTTTTTTGTAATGATATGTCTTTGGCAAAACACCTGGATTATGGGTCATCTGAAATGGTTGTAATTGATTGAAAAATGTCTAAATTGTCACTATCCCAGAAGACTATATAATAAGTGGCCTTTTTGTTCTCTGCAAAGATGGTCAATACCAGCAATTCTCAAATGCACCACTCCACCAATGAACTGCCTTTCATGCAAGGTTTTTTTATTACAATGTGATAATGACAAGTAGTAATAGAACATATTTGTATGTATAATGGGTGTTCTGTAAACAACACTTTTTGCAATCATCAAAATTAACACACACGTTTAAATGTAACCATGGAAAAACTGGCATGGGTAGGCAGATTGATGTATAATTAATCCCCACCTCCCCATCTTTCCCCATCCCCAGTGGACCACAATATTTGGCTGGATTATTTTTAGGAGTTCATTCTGTAATATGTCATGGTGTTTTTCTTCAGGTGAATCTGGTCTGGGGAAATCCACGCTTATTAACAGCCTCTTCCTAACTGACTTGTATCCTGAGCGCGTGGTGCCCGGTGCAGCAGGTAACTGAACTGTATTATATTTATTCAGAGCAACATTGGTGGACATATGTGTCAATGTTTCTGCATTTCAGGATAGTTTAATTATTTTATGATTTGAGAGAAGTGTGTGACATCTAGCTAGACCTTTAACTTTGCATAGTTTCACAATTATTTTTTTTTTTTAACCTGGCCTCCTGTAAGAGAATCAAACCCATTCTTGCGCATACCAGACAGCTACTTGCAGCAAACCATTAAGTGACTTAAATCTTGTTCTCTGCACTGGACAGCACCATAGCACAGCTAAGATGCCTAGGTATCACTGAAATGTTTGAGTCTGTTTGGCTTGAAGTTCTGCACCTTCTTGCTTATGTTTTGTATTTTTTTTTTTTTTTTTTTTCCAATTTGTTGTTCCTATATTTGGTTGGTAGTTTCAATGTATTGCAATTGAAACCTACGGCAGCAAAAAGGTTGCCAAGAGCAGCAAAACTGCCAGTTCCCAAATGTGTATGCCTGCTGGTTGGTGCATATCAAAGTTGGGCATCAGAGAAAACTGCATGGAGACGATGGTTAGAAAACTGTATTCCCTCTACTACCTGATGGTTCAGTATAAATCAATGTAGGCCCATGTTTTCCTTCGTAAGAAAAGGCTTCCATCTTGCCACTGTACCCTATAGCCCAGACATATGAAGAATAAAGGAGATTGATGTCACATGCACCACACAGCCAGTACTTGCCACATATTCCAGCAGCTCCTTTAATGTTGCTGTAGGCCTCTTGGCAGTTCTTGGGACATACAGTTCTTGGTGATGTCACTGTTGCAACATATTTTCTCCACTTAATGGTAACTGTCTTCACTGTGTTCCATGCAGGTATGTACTGACTCCTATTTAACATGATTTTGAAAGTGATTGCTTAGTTATGAACACAGCTACCCCCCCCCCCCCCCCCCAAAAAAAAAATTGTTTATTTTTCAGTTGAGTTGTACAGTTTATAGGTCACATTAAATGTGGATAAAGTTAGAAATTATTTAATCTTTGTCTCATTTTTAAACATGACAGAAACCTGACATTTTAACAGGGGTGTGTAGACTTTTTATATTGTGTTTTGTATACACACTAAACAACCATTTTTAGTTATTCCTCATAATACTTTAAACAGTGTAGATTATGCCTTTAACATAAAAAGCCAAGATAGAACATGTTACAATGCAAGATCTGTATATAAACGTGATTCAAAAAGTTATAATCAGCTTGCTGCTTTCACTGGTTTGTTTTTCTGTCAGTAGAATTCCCTAATAATTTAAGCTTAGAAAGAAATATGAGAACAACTTTACTAGTCGCCGTAAACCCACATAATCAAAAATCCCATAATATCTTTACATGTAACATGTCATGTCACCGCACTTCATATCATTGTCTAAAGCAGAGCTCATATTCCCAGCAATAAGTCACAAATGGAAGTGATCTGGTGCTGTAGAGTTGCTTGGGGAGCTGGTTATGGTCTCCCCTGACCTAATTCAGACCTCACAAAAAGGCCCTTTAAAAATGTATTTAGAAAAAAAAAAAAAAACCTTTCCACATTAATGTTCAAGCAATAACTTTGACTGCTGTTGTGTGAGCATCAAATATAATGCTATCTTTACACTACACCAATAAACATCATGCTCTTACACACTGTGTGTACAATTATTAGACCAGTGATTATTTTGACCAAATCATAATTTTTATGCATATTGTCCAACTCCAAGCTGTATTAACTTGAATGCTTATGGGATTTAAGCATACAGTGATTAATAAGTATTAAAGACGTCCCCATTTTTCTCGGTAAATGTTTCTAAAGGTGCTATTGACAAAATTTTAAATACATTGTCAGTAACAACCCATGCAATCCATTCATACAAAGAAACAAAAAACAAAGTTCTGAAATTAGGTTATGTGTAATGAAATGGAATGACACTGGGAAAAAATATTGAACACGCTAACTGAAGTTTATTTAATACTTTGTACACAGTCCTTTTGTTAATGACTGCTTCTAAAAGCCTCCCTTATGGAGAAACTAGTTGCATGCATTGCTAAGGTGTGATTTTGGCCCATACGTCCACACAGTCTTCAGACTTTTGAACGTTCTGTGGGCTTCTTCTGTGATCTCTGATCTTTAGTTCTTTCCATTTTCTATTGGATTTAAGTCAGGTGATTGACTGGGCCATTCTAGCAGCTTTTTCCTTCTTTGAAACCAGTTGAGAATTTCCTTGGCTTTGTGTTTGGAATCATTGTCTTTCTGAAATGTCCTCCCTTGTTTCATCTGCATCATCCTTCCTTAAGTGATATGAAGTTTGCAGTACCATATGCTGAAAAAACGCCTCACACCGTGATGTTCCCACCTCCAAACATCACTGTTGGTATGATGTTTTTGGGGTGATGTGCAGTGCCATTTGACCTCCAAACATGGTGTGTATTATGGCATCCAAAGCGTTTAATTTTGGTCTCATCTGACCAGACTACATTCTCAGTATTTCACAAGCTTGTCTAAATGTTGTGCAGCAAACTTTAAATGTGCTTCAGTATGCTTTTTCTTCAGCAATGGAGTCTTGCGTGGTGATCATGTATACAGGCCATGGTAGTGTGCATTTTTGTTTTATTTGAAACAACTGTACCTGCTAATTCCAGGTCTTTATGAAGCTCTCCACATGTGGTCCTTGGCTCTTGAAGGTGAAACAGGAAGGCGCTTCTAAGTGCAGTATTCCAGGTCAACTTTAATAAAAAGCAGTTAAAACCACTTACAATGTAGTAGTACAAACAGGCTCTAATGTAATCCGTCAGTAGCAGGGCTCTGTCCTCTGAGCAATGGAGCCACTGTGCCAGCCAGCAGCTGCAAGGGGAGCTTGAGGAGAGGTGTTTAAAGATGGCCTCCACTCTGTTCGGACTGCTGGCGCACATGCTGGACCGCTTGCTGTCCACGGACCGCAAGTGACGTGAGCATGGAGTGGTGACGCATTTTGGAGCATGAGCAGAGCTCCTTCTTCAAGACCATTGTCCAGGCTTAGGGAGAGCCAGTTAAATAGGGTAAAGAGGTGGGAAAAGGGGCGGTCAGTGGTAAGGAAGGTACACGCCTTCCAAAGACCAAGCTGGATGTAAATACGGAGCAGAATATTTGGTGTGAAACAATAGGAGACTGGGAAAGCAAGAAATAAAAAAAAAAAGAGAAACGAAAAAAAAACGAAACTATGTTTGTAAGGACTGATTGGGGGTGTATAGCATATTGAAGAATAGTTAGAAAACTGGATTTGAACATTATCTAAGACGATATATAAAGATAATAATGTAATTATAATTACAATTGAGAGATGGGTAAGAGGGAAAAGAGGAATGGGGGGAATTGAGTGTGCTGTTGGGTATCTGCTGTGGTGTGACAAATGATACATAGGTAACCTGGACATATTAGAATATAAAAATTATAGCCAAGAGGTTACAACATAATCATAGCACATAAGTACAGTCTAAACAAATGATAACTACATAAATGCATGTGTGTAGCCGCAGGCAGAGCTGAAACAATATGCGTGTGCAAAGACACATGCACACAAGCACGCGCATGTATGCACACAAATGCCCAACCCCATATAAACATGCATTTACACATGCAGGCATAATGCCCAGCACAAAACAAATTGTACGGTACTATAGGATGGTATGGATTTCAAGGTCCTCATTCAGACCAGCAGGAGATCGTAAATCCAATAGGTCTCCCTATGGCATAAGTGTTGGAATTTCTCGGCTCGTGGGAGGTCAGTGGACATGGCTTCAATTATCCAGACTCTTAGACCCTTAGTGGATTTACTATGTTGTTCTGAGAAGTGTCGGGGGACACTGTGCTTGTTAATGCCGTCTTCGATAAGGCAGCGGTGTTCCCCAAACCATTTATGCAGGGTACGGATGGTTCTTCCTACGTAATAAAGACCACAAGGACAAGCCAAACAATATACCACAAACTCAGAAGAACATGTGTAAAAGGCAGGGATCTTATATGTTTTACCTTGAATGTCTTTTTGGCCATGGTGGCCAAATGGGCAGGTTAAACAGAGTGGTTTATTGCATCGGTAGATGCCTGTAATGGGGAATAAACTTAGGGGGGCACAGACAACTCTACTGATTCTTTTCACTCCTCTGTCAGAAATTTTGCAAGGAGCACCTGGTCACGGCTGATTTGTGGTGAAATGACGTTCTTTCCACTTCCCGATTATGGCCCCAACTGTGCTCACTAGAACATTCAGACGTTTACAAATCATTCTGCAACCAATGTCATCAGTTTGTTTTGTAGCAATAAATCTGCAAAGGTCTTGAGAAAGCTCTTTGCTTTTACCCATCATGAGATGTTTTTCTCGTGTCACACCTTTTTTTTTTTTTTTTTTTTTTTTTATAGGCCATCAGTTGAGACTGAACCAGCTGAAATTAGTTTGCATTGACAAAGGGCGTGATTGCTTTATAATTACTGATAGAGTTCAGCTGGGATCTTAGATTTCCATGCTTTTTTGCACCTCCCTTTCTTCATGTGTTCAATACTTTTTTTCCCTGTGTCATTTCATTTTATTATAACTTAATTTCTGAACATATTTGTTTTGATTTCTTTGTATGTATAGGTTGCATGGGTTGTTACCGACATGTGGTGAAAAATGGTGACTTGTTCAATACTTACATTTTTTACCCACTGTATCAGGTGTTGTGTATTTGTGTAATGAGGGAGGGTGTCTCCTAACAAGATCAACACCCTATATCAAATAGGCAGCTTCTTTTCCTCAGACAAAAGGAGCCAGAAAAAAAAGATTTAACTGACTCTGAAAAGTCAAAAATTGTAAAGTCTTTCAGAGGGAGGCAGCAATCTTTAAATTGCTAAGATATTGGACTGGTATCGCAGGATCATCAAACTTTTTGTTGCAAATAGTCAACAGTGTTGCAATAAAAGTGTTGAGAAAAAGACGCAAATTAACTGCAAAGATTTGAGAAAAATCAAATGTGAAGCTACCAGGAACCAATTATCCTCCAGTGCTGTCATATTCCAGAACTGCAACCTACCTAGAGTGCCCAGAAGTACAAGGTGTACAGTGCTCAGAGACATGGCCAAGGTAAGGAAGGCTGAAATCCGACCATCACGGAACAAGACACATGAGTTGAAATGTCAAGACTGGGCCAAGAAATATCTTAAGATATGGATTGATGAGATGAGAGTGACTCTTGATGGACCAGATGGAAGGGCCCATGGCTGGATCCATAACGGGCCCAGAGCTCTACTTCGACTCAGATGCCAGGTGGAGATGGGGTGCTGGTATTATTAAAGATGAGCTAGTTGGACCTCTTCTGGTTGAAGATGGACTCAAAATCGACTCCCCAACTTGCTGCCAGTTTTTAGAAGACACGTTCTTCAAGCAGTGGTACAGGAAAAAGTCTGCATTTTTCAAGAAGACCATGATATTTATGCAAGACAATACTCCATCGCATGCATCGATGTACTCCACTGCGTGGCTAGCCAGTAAAGGCCTTAAAGATGAAAGAATAATGACATGGCCCCCTTCCTCACCTGATTTAAACCCTATTTAGAACTTGTGGGCCCTACTTAAACGGGACATTTTATGGTGAAGGAAAAACAGTACAGCTGTGGTTGCTGCTGCAGAAAAAGTTGTTCAACAGATCAAGAAACTGATAGACTCCATGAATGGAAGGCTTATGACTATTATTGAAAAGAAGGGTGGCTAAATTGGTCCCTGATTATTTTATTTATTTTATATTTCAAATGTTTATTTGTAAATTTTGAATTGTTTATTATTGTCACTTTAACAGATGAAAATGAACAAGTGAGATGGGAAATTGTTCGTTTTTCATTTAGCTGCATAATAATTCTGCACATTAAGTTGCCCAATAATTGTGCACACATATTCTCATAAGAAAGCCAAAACCCCACTTTTGCTTTCTTAAATATTCAGATTTGAGATTTATTAACATTTTAAATTGACCGACCGCACTATAGTTGTTCAATACTGAAATTAATCCTCAAAAATACATCTTGCTAATAAATGTGCACACAGTGTGTACGCAACATACAATGTTTATCTGTTGTGTATCTGTAATTTGAATACAAATTCTTACTATTTTGTGGCCCTTTTGATACATCAGGAGCCGCATTTGAGGCCCTCTGTGTTTTACCAAGTTGACCACCACAGCTTTTAGATATTTAGCAATGAGTGAGAGCCATGCTATATTCTCACCCCCATTCAATCATCATTGACACTTGAAGCACATGAAGGAAAGTGTTTACAGCTTTGAATTATAACAAACTAAAAATACTGAAAGGAACACAGTAGCCCCACATGGGTTTTTTTTTTTTTTTTTTTTCTGAAACTTGCTTGTAACTTATTTATGCTGCGTGGTCATTTTCGAGGCAAATATTGCTTGATGGAGTTTGACTTGCCAAGATGCGTTACAGATCACGTTATCCTGGGAACATCTTTTCAGAATTTGTAGTTTGCTCATTATATGTTTGCTTGAAGCTTTGCTGTCATCCATGCTCACATGCTTTCATCTCTGTGTGATAGATAAGATTGAGCGTACAGTGGAGATTGAAGCATCCACTGTGGAGATAGAGGAGAGAGGGGTAAAGCTTCGTCTTACAGTGGTTGACACTCCAGGCTATGGCGATGCTATGAATTGTGAAGACTGGTGAGTACAGTGTGCAGGCTTCTAGAAGCACATGTTGATGCATCTTTAGAATGAAAACGTAACATAGCTGAGGGGTAGTTCAACATTCTATTAGTCACTTCAAATAGACAAAATTTTATATTTTACTCCATCTTGGTTAGACATCTGCCTTGGGCAATGGCTAAAATCAAATGGTGAGGTGCAGATAATCAGTAAACGTTGCAATCATATTTAAATTAGAAAGTTACCAGTACCTTTCATCTGCATCTATATAATCTGTTTGTAGACACATTCATTTGGTTTCTTACACTGCTTTCTGAGCAGGTCACATTCTCTGTTCTCACTGTTGTGCTCTGTGCAAATGTCTGTTTCTGCTGCAAAGTCTACCTTTTTAGCAGAAATGATTTATTTAATGTCCCTTTATAATCTTTTTAAATATATAGACCTGAAAGTACTTATCAATTTGTAGACCATGCAAAGGTGTAGACATCAGGGGTGTGGAAATTTTTTTTTTTTAAAAACTACTCGTCCAAGGGACTAAATCAGGGTACCAATCTACTTGTCCCTCATGACAATCTACTTATGATACATTTTTTTTTTTTTTTTTTTTTTTTTTTTAACCAAAACTGTTTAAGGCTGACCATCCCTTCACTCAGCAATCCCACCTCTGACCATCTCTACAGAGGTGGCATGCGGAGCATGGGGATGGTCAGAGGTGGCGTGTGGGGATGGTCAGAGGTGGCATGTGGATGTGGGGATGGTCAGAGGTGGCATGTGGAGTGTGGGGATGGTCAGAGGTGGCATGCCACCTCCTGATTATCCCTACATTCAGCAATTCTAAAGTACAATGCTGTGTGTGGATGTGGCAGGTGGAGTAAATAAGTAGTAATAGGACAGAGTTTGATGTGTGTTGCCATTGATATGTCCTGTATGGTGGTCCGGGTCCTGACATCACCTGCTGTGTGTGTTCTGCAGCAGAGTATATGCAGACAGAGGGATACAAATGAAGAGGAGAGAGAGTGCTGAGGTGAGGGGTGCGGGAAGGGCAGCTTGCCAGCGTGTCCCAGGAGGAGAGTAAGAGAAGTGTGGGAGTGGCTGGGACTGAATGGGGCTGCCGAACTGAGTTGATGGGCTGAGGGAGCTGCTGAGCTAGTGAGAGGCTGGCGGAGAGGGGACTGTCTGCACGGGACAGCAGCATGGATGAGTGGAGAGCCTGCTAACTCTAGTGTAGCATGAAGATCTGTTCATGCTTCACCGGTGTCCGCTCTGCAAAATAAAAAAATTTAAACCCTGCTGCTTGCTCACTACAGGGCTAAATGTAAATAAAAAAACACCTGCCTGACTCCCCAGAACTACATGTCCCAGGCAATGGGCGATTGATTATGAATTGCACATTTGCATATCCCTGAGACATGATTTAGAGCTTTATTGTAGCTAATAACTGTGTACTTTGCTGGTAGGTGTTGCTTAGTATCGCACACATTTCATTGTTCACCTAGGAATACAATTCAAAGTGCAGCTGTAACCAAACTGTGAACATTTCAATATGACATATCCTTAACAAGGCAAAATGAGCTTTAAAACAATCCCTCACTGACCAAAGTAGATGCAGGCACTGTGGAACAATTCATTCTCAATATTTGTAGGGGAAGTCATACAAGAGCGCTATGTGCTCTCCCTTTTGCTGTTCAATTACGAAACCTTTTCAGAGAACTGCCTAGTCCCTGTGAAAAGGTTTGTTGCATGGCTGTCGTGTTTTTTTTTGTTTTAACTACAGTACTTTAGAATGGTTGACTTGGAAATTAGTAAGCAAATGTAGCATTCAGAGTTCAGTCTGACTGCCAGACAAGTGGCATTTTCAGGAGGAGAGCCATTAATGGCAACAAGTAATGTTTTCAGGGAATTGTGTTTAAAAGCTTTTGGTAAATTTAATTTGTCTGTGGTGAATTCATTTAGCTACTATTAAGTCTGCTGCAAGTGTGGCAATGTTCCAACACAATGCACATTGGTTTTTATTTAGTTGTAATGCCTCTTAATTGCACTTATGTCTTTGTATACAACCTATAGCCATTGAAGCATCTTCTGGATAGGGCTGCAACAATGTTGGAGGAAGTTGCTTTCAGAAATTGTCCTTGGTCCTAGAACTCATGAACTGTGAGGCACCCAGAGTCAGACCCGGAATAATATAAACCTTGTTTTGTCTGATGTTCCTGGGCTCCATGCATATGAAGGATGCAGCTTGTGAACACAACTTACAAATACAGGGGAGACTTCTCAATTAAATTGCATGCAGAGGAAAGGAGAAGTGGATAACTGGAATGTTACACTAGGTCAATGACCTATATTATTTAAACAGAGCAAAAAGGTTTTAGGGAACTAGTCCAGTTCCTCAGTTTTCCTGCTGAGAATGTTGCTGTTATGAAAAGCTGTGTTGGCGTTTTTAGTAGTATAGTTTTTGGGTCCTTTTTTTAAAGCATCTGTCTGCAGCTGGTCATTTCTTTGCCTTGGTAAGATTGTAACATTTCAACTTTGATATTAACTTTTTCATATGTGCTGAGGCTGGATATGTTTTTCGATGTGCACTTTCTATTTACCTAACTATGTGCCAATACATGAGCCAGCAGAACAGCAAGAGTGTCTGCAGCTATATTCTGTTAATCTTGTCTAATACCAGTATTGAACTAAAACACAACAGATTTTCAGTAAAATATTCAAATGAGCCCTTTTGCGGAGGTGGAACATTGCAATTAAAAACCGGTTATGGATTTGTTTTGTGAAACCGTGTACTAGGGGATGTTTTCCATTGGACCAGTTTAAAATCTAGATAATGAATGTGTACATAAACATTTTTAAAAGAATAGATCCACTTTTGCTATTAAATTTGAGCACACCCCCACCCTCCCCCTACCCACTTTTTGTTTATAGTTGTTTGTTGCAGGCATTTGGCCAGAGTGCAAGCTACTGCTTTTCCCATATTAACATACAAGAAAACAGACCTTGAGACCTTTGGCCTGACCATATTGAAACATAGTGCACAACTGATAATGAAATCTACTAGCACAGTACAGACAGGGTTTATTATGGTAAACATTAACCCTCCAGCCCCTTCATTAACATTACATAAGGGGAAAACATCAGTTTAGAAGATTTCAGAAAAGAGTAAAATTTATAAGAAACTATTTAAAAAAAAAAAAAGTTTCTTCTTTCTAGTTATGCTGTGTAAATGGGAATATGTTACAATTATAATGTAATTGTTATTCCAGTCTGGTGGTAATACATATAAAGCTAAATTCCAGGTATGGATCTTTAGACAGATTTACATTGGGCCAGCTTGGACCAATGTAACTATGCATGTACTATACATGGCTGAATTTCCCCCCCCCCCCCCCCCCAACCTGGAATTTTATCTTTTTAAAGGTCTGCTTAACGCAGCAGACAGCGATCCCCTAAGATCTAGTGGTGTACTATTCCTCAGCATCTTAGCATCCAATGCAGAGTCCAGGTTTCTGCATTGATCTTGATGACTGGGGACATTAGACCGCCGGAGTATAGGGGGGAAGAGTCTGCAGGGAGTGGTCCAGCATCTCAAAGAAGCCACTCTTAATTGGGGGTCATATGATTCTGGTAAGCCTCCCTTTGTTGTATACTGAGGTGCTGTGTGGTTCATCATTAATTTTGGTGGCGTTCTGACATCCACATCTGTCATTTCTCTCATAATTGAAGAACCACTGAATTCAGTTTTTGGCTTCCCATTTGGATTCCTTTTATTTTTTTCAATTTCTGGTGACACATAATAGTTTGATATATTTGTATTGCACTATTGTATTGCACATACATTTTAATTTGTTTTAGCACTGCACTATTGTTTTGTGAGCCCTGAACCAATGTTCTCTAGGAACAAAGCTACCAGGTTATGACCACCTTGTACTGTCTATACAGTTCCCATGGTCTCCTGCGAGGACCTGAACAAGAGTACAGCTTGTACTGACTACTCCCTTCCCTTCAGAATAGGAATGTGCCTTCTATGAGAAAAATAAGGTGCCTTCTATGAGAAAAATAAGGATACAAGAAGTGGCCTTAGACAGCAGATGTCATGTATATAAACTAAGTATTTTCTTTAATTAAACTTTTTTTTATCTTTTGCTTTCTCAGTTTCAGGCCCATTATTTGCTATGTGGATGACCAGTTTGAGAGATATCTTCATGACGAAAGCGGTTTAAATCGGCGGCACATTGTGGATAACCGTGTCCACTGCTGCTTTTACTTTATCTCCCCATTTGGCCACGGGTATGTAAAGGTCATCTTCATTTGTCCCTATTGTCACCTCTATACTAATGAGTAGCTGTTGATGTCTCCATACAATTAACAAAGTCTGTAAACACAAATCCATATGTCAATATGTATATACATGATGATGTAAATAGACACGCATAGAATTGATTATTTTTAAATGGCAAGTTCCCATATACATATTCTAATATAGTTGGATCTCTTCTCAGTTTGAAGCCGCTTGATGTGGAGTTTATGAAGGCATTGCACAATAGAGTGAACATTGTTCCTGTTATTGCCAAAGCGGATACATTGACTCTAAAGGAACGGGAGAGGCTGAAGAGAAGGGTAAGAACTGTAAATTTACACCATCTGTGGAAATTAAAATGCAGTTTACATGTGAAGTAATTCTCAGTGACATTTACAAATGTGCATGTAATTGTATCCATATCTGCAAAGAAAATGGACCCTGGACACTGACGGCTCTGCAAACAAATCCCTCTACCACCTTAAAGGCATAGTTCACCTTTTGCAAAAATAAATGCACCAACATTAAAAAAACGATTTGCATTGAAGCCTGCAGATCGTTGCAACCACAATCATTGCATTGTGGGGTCCAAACACAGATTCCTGGAGGCTCTTCTCCCAGCCCCAGGTCCATACAGAGGTGCTGACCTACTGCTATGGGGTTGGAGGAAATAAACTGAAACTAGTGCGGTGGCGGCACTTGTGTTCCATGTTAAATCTAAAAGTCTGTCTGCTTTGGTGGCAGATGGGATTTGTGTGTGACAGAACCCTTTTGCGGTCCTAACTACTCTAAACCCCCAAGCTGCCAGCATTAAACTCAAAGATAAAAAATACACACAAAAAACCACAACCAGTGTCAAAAAAAAATAGTGAAAACAATGTGCATAAATCTGTGTCTGTGCGCAAATAATTATTGGACACTGTAATCTCCATAATATAGTGATCCACCAGGATAGAATTTTTGGACACCATGTGAATATTACTATGTAGATCATATTATGGAAATCATGTGTGGTGTTCCGTGCAAAGTTCCAGCTGCAGTGGGAAATTAAAAATTTAGCAACATTGTTAACACCACTGCTAAACATGACTACTTCCTGCTCAGGGCTCCTGATTGTTAAGTAGCGAACAGCCACCAGTGTCCTAACAACCAGTGACTCATCCCTGCCCCGCTTATTCAGCTATCAGTGTTGGGTTCCTCCCCAAAATTCATACCAGGCTCCTCAGGTCTGCTATGAGTTTTAAGGGGTACTCCAAAAAAAAAACGGCTAAGGGAGAGCCCGACATTCCATACCCGACCCTTTATCCGAACATGCCGCCTGACTGACAAAGAAAGAGGGGGACAAGTGCGACCGTCCCCTTCCTACTAGGCCATCTTCCCTCATCCCTGGGAAGGTCCTCTTCCCCCATAACTCTGGCCCAGTGGTTGTGGGGGGCCTCTGTTAAAAGGGATTTTCAGATTCTGATTAAGCCTCCTGCACAGTGAGAGGTTCCCTCAATACCGCAATTCCCCATGTTAATAATAAAGGGGGGCTCAAAAAACAAGTAAATAGACATATTCACAGTCCTATGATATAGCTCACTTCCATTGTCTAGCAATACAGATCTGCATCTGTTCTAATGAACGATGGCCGCCAACTGTTGTCCCATCTGATTATGTCACTTTACTGGCACCGAATGACATCTCCTTCCTGTTCCCAACTGCTAAAGAAAACAAAGGAGGGGGATCTCCCTGGTGACATAATTTACAAACATGGACATGTCCATATTAGGTCTGCAGCATACCCCCTTAAAGGTTGCTTAGTAATTTTTGGGTTCCCTGTCAGTCTGAACCTCTTGTTGAAAGCCCAACCTCTGCTGATACCCCCATGCTTTCATGACCAAAATAAATCCCAACTGGAAAATGGACACTCTCACAAGTTAATATAGACCAATATGAAGTTTATATTGGAATTAAAGGTAACAGTCAAAAAGAACAAAATGACACTGATTTATGCAGCAAATATAATCACTCTTGGTAATTGTGAGCAAAAGTAAAGACATTCTGAAAGCAGGCCTGCCAACAGTTATTGTTGCTTTCCTGTGAAATAATCCACTGCCTCCAATCTGAGGGCACTGCTGAATCCCAGTAAGCAGGAACAACTATCATGAAACCGATAAACACGCTCTGGGTCCTTACAACTAGATGCCAAGGATTAGATGTGAAGGAAAGAGAATAATCAGCTGTTCTGTCCATGTGAGTGACCCTGAATGGCAGGCCACTGCCATCTAATGTCCGTCTTAATTAGAGATGAGCGAATCGAACCAGGCGAAGTGGAATTCGTTTCGAATATCGGGAAAAAATTCGATTCGCATCGAATCCGAATTTTAGCCAACTTCGGGTGCACGAATCAAATTTTTCCCGATCAGCCGGCAAAAGTGTCACTGCAGAGAGCTCCGCTATTTCTGACAGTTCTGACAGTACATTTACAGCGGTTGAAAACATTGTATCTATTTGTTTCCATTTAGGATACAGATGTTTTTATTCGGAAATAAATAGACACAATGTTTCAACCGCTGTAAATGTGAAGGAACTGTCAGAGAACTGTCAGAAATAGCGGAGCTCTCTGCAGATACACTTTTTGCTGTACTGGAATACCTCTTCTTTTCCTTCTTCTTCTTCTTCTTTTCATTCTTCTTCTTTTCATTCTTCTTCTTTTCATTCTTCTTCTTTTCATTCTTCTTCTCCTTTTCATTCTTCTTCTCCTTTTCATTCTTCTTCTCCTTTTCATTCTTCTCCTTTTCATTCTTCTTCTCCTTTTCATTCTTCTTCTCCTTTTCATTCTTCTTCTCCTTTTCATTCTTCTTCTCCTCCTTTTCCTTCTTCTTCTTCTCCTTTTCCTTCTTCTTCTTCTCCTTTTCCTTCTTCTTCTTCTCCTTTTCCTTCTTCTTCTTCTCCTTTTCCTTCTTCTTCTTCTCCTTTTCCTTCTTCTTCTTCTCCTTTTCCTTCTTCTTCTTCTCCTTTTCCTTCTTCTTCTTCTCCTTTTCCTTCTTCTTCTTCTCCTTTTCCTTCTTCTTCTTCTCCTTTTCCTTCTTCTTCTTCTCCTTTTCCTTCTTCTTCTTCTCCTTTTCCTTCTTCTTCTTCTCCTTTTCCTTCTTCTTCTTCTCCTTTTCCTTCTTCTTCTTCTCCTTTTCCTTCTTCTTCTTCTCCTTTTCCTTCTTCTTCTTCTCCTTTTCCTTCTTCTTCTTCTCCTTTTCCTTCTTCTTCTTCTCCTTCTCCTTCTTCTTCTTCTCCTTTTCCTTCTTCTTCTTCTCCTTCTCCTTCTTCTTCTCCCCCCGTGACTGCCCAAATGAGTGAAGTGTGCGGTGATTCTAAGATCGACGGCACTCATCTGCATGTCATACTGACTGACAGTATTATTTCTCTTCCCCAGCAGACTCCAAGGGCATTTAAATTAAAGGTACAGTGTTCTGCACTAATATAAAGGCTCTCTGAAGCCTAGAAACCCTTTAAATAAGTTAAATTCGCGGTGAATAAATTTGCATCGAATCGAATTTCTCCCGCAAATTCGGCGAATCAGCCGAATCGAATTTTTGAATAATTCGCTCATCTCTAGTCTTAATGTATTACCAGTAACGGTTACAAGTCAATGGCATGTATTGATTTCAGTGTTCTAGTCCTAGGAAGAAGTCTACACCCATTGGTTAGGTCAGGGCTTGAAATTTCCACTCGCCTGCTCGCCAATGGCGAGTGGAAATTATGGTGGGGGCGAGTGTGTCCCCCAGGGCCTTCTTGCTGAGCAGGCTTGGAGCTCAGGCCAGTTCTGTCATTGGCACGGGGAGCCGTCAGACTGCTCAATAGCTGAAGCAAATAAAGGAGTGTGTGCTGTGCTCTCTGCCTCCCCCTAGAGTGCAGTACCCAAATCTGTGAGTGAACAACGAAGTACTGCAACTTTTTATGGGGGGGGGGGGGGTGTACGTGTTTGTGTGTTTCTGTCTATGCATGTACAATTGTACATGTGTATGTATAAGTGTGTATCTGTACGTGTATCTGTGTGCATGCGTGTCTGTACGTGCCTGTGTGTGTGTGTGTGTGTGTGTGTGTGTGTGTGTGTGTGTGTGTGTACAGGTGTCTCTGTTTGTGTGTGTTTGTTGGAGGCGAGTAACTCTACGGCCTGGCTAGTAGCTCAGGACTTGAAATTTTAAGCCCTGGGTTATGCCATGACCTAACTTTTCTCCAAGGCAGTAAAATCTCTCTTTATCAGTAGGTTGCCCTTCTTTGATCCATAGTACTATGCAATGCAGCATAGTCTGGCTGGCTTAAAAACCAATGTCCCTTTTCTTATCTTTCAAGATGCCCTGTAACACTAGCTGTGATGTTGAACAGGGCACCCCCACTTGGCGCATGGCTGTCTGACATGGCAGCTTGCAAGGAGATGACTGCTTTTTCAGCTTCACCTCCTTCCGCATTCCTCAGGTAAGTCCTGGGGAGCCAGAGACAGGTGCTCGCTATCAGTGGCCATTTCCTTGCCAGCTGTGGTGTCGAGCAGCCGTGTGTGAAGGGGGGAGGGGGGTTAACGCTGTCCAACATCACAACAGGTAGTGTTGCAGCGAACCAGAGAGGATGGGTCAAGGTACAACGTTGAACATTACCGGACTTTCCCATTCTCTGTCTAAATGCTTCTTTCTTGGCCATTACTGGAGGCCAGCACAAAGACTCCCTGAGGTTCTATCAAGTATATTTAAATCAATACATGACTGGATTAAATGGAAGTATTTAAAATCTGCCCTGAATTTCGTGTTACCACTGTTTCATTATTTACATAAGCTATTTCCTTTTAATGTTGTGCCATCTAGTGTATCTTTACAAGTACTACAATTTCTAGTTTTATTAGTGAGATGTGCCCAGTGTTTTAATGATAACAGTAGTATTGTTGTTCTTATATCATGTTACTTTTTATGTTCACCATTTTTACTGATAAAACTGAAAAAATGTAGATGTTTTACAACTATTATTTCCAGCCCAAAGACCTTGTATACATTAGACACTATTTGCTCACCTGCATTCATGTCTCCAACTCCCTTCACTTCCTTACCTCCATAGGCATCTCCATAAGCACACAGTTGTGAGTAGCGGTTTGTTTATGTGACAGTTCCTGGTGAATGCTAGTGATGCTATGTTTCATTCTACGTAACCGGCAATGTTACCATACCTCTCCTGTATTTGTAGATTCTGGATGAGATTGAGGAACGTGGGATTAAGATTTATCAGCTTCCAGATGCAGAGTCTGATGAAGATGAAGATTTCAAGGAGCAGACAAGGCTTTTAAAGGTGCATTGCAACTTGCTTGGCTACTGTAATCCATAGATGTGCTCTACTAGTCAAGTAATTATAGGCTTAGGTTAGCTAATACCTAAAAACCCAACTTATTATTATTATTATTATTATTATTATTATTATATATATATTTTTTTTTTTATAAAGTAGGTAATAGTCAGAGCTTTTGTCAAGATTTCATTGCAGTCCACCTTCTCATTTACACTGGCCTTCTGTCCTGGTGACATCATGACAAATAAAGCTTGTGTCAATAGGACGGGGAAGCTATTAAAAAAAAATGTGTTCTATATTTTCTCTGCTCTGTAAGATAAATGTACTTTTGTTGCTTTCCTGTACCCATAATAGATTGACACCATTGTTTGCTGTGCACAGTTAGTGAGCCCCATAATTGGGGACACGAAAGCAATAAAAAAGTGCAGACAGACACGTTCTAGCCCTTACTTTCTCTGTACAATACTAAAAAAAATTTTGACTAGAGTTTGGGTTTAAGTATGACATATAAAAATACAGTAAAGAAGATTCTCAGATTATTTTCGCCATCTACTTTTTGAATTTTTGTTCTGACTTTTTTCACATTCCTTCAGTATGTTGTTTCAATTTTTATCTGATCATATATCACTATCACGTGCATTGCGTTATTAAAGTATCCCTTGCAATGAGCTAATGCATAATTTAAACTGTTAACTTTAATGTGGCAATGGATTTTTTTTCAGCTGTACCTGCTGGCTTGAATTACTGCGGTGTTTCTCCTTCCTAAACCCCTTTCTTACCATGCCCTCTAGCCCTTCAGTAAATTCAAACTGTCTCCAAAGCCTTCAATCTTATTCTCCACAATTTAAATCGCCATTGCTGCTGGTAACTGTCACAAGAGTGAAAATATTATTCTGTGATCGTTGCCAGGCAGCACATTTAGTTAAGGTGAACCTGTGATTGTTACTCCTCCTCCATTGCGTTTTTTAGCTGCCAGAAATAAAAAAGGGGAAGCTCTGATGTCACAACTTGGTGCTTACATATGCTGAAGACTTTCCCCTCTCTCTGCCATGAGCCTGTTTTATCACAACAGAATTGATATACCTAGTGAGGTACACAGACAGTTTTGCATATTTTTGTGAAATCCTGCCTTAGATCACAGTGAGTGATGTTGGTTGATGCTTAATAGTGAAAGGTCATTTACCAACATATAACAGATCTAAAGCTGGGCCATCAGGGACATTGTTGTAGATCTACTTTTGGGAAGTTGCAAAAGCTATTGCAGTGAACATGAGGTTGGGATTCAGGTCTCTTGGTAATGACTTTGTACTTTGTTTTATTCTTTGTAGGCCAGTATTCCCTTCTCTGTTGTTGGCTCTAACCAGCTTATTGAGGCAAAAGGTAAAAAGGTCAGAGGACGTCTGTATCCCTGGGGTGTGGTGGAAGTAGAAAATCCAGAACACAATGACTTCCTTAAACTAAGGACAATGCTTATGTAAGTATAACGGAGTCATTTTCACACTTGCTGCATTCTGTTAGAGTGTACAAATATTAGCTTTAAAATAGAAGTATGAGGTATTAAAAAAACAAAACAAAAACCTAGCATTATACTCAGGTGGATGCAGCATCAATCTGATCAAAGACTGTGATCGCTCAGTTCTCCCTCTCTGTGCTGAGCAGAGAGCCAGGACTATCAAGTCTCCAGCTTCTTAGCAAACTAGATGTTATCCATTTAGGGTTTACAACTACTTTTAATTTAATTTTGACTTTCCTTCTGCATGCCTTTAACAGAACAACTGAAACTTCTGAACTCCATTAGGCATGATGATAGATATGTTTTGTAATAATCCAGTTACAGGCTTTACAACAAGATATCTTTGGTGCATAAGTTGTGTGACTAATCTTGCTCTCCCTCTTTCTAAATTCTTTAGCACTGAGTGTGAGCACGTTTTGCCAGTTAGTAAAACAATGCATTGTGGCCATTTTCAGATTTGAACATTTGTAACAAAGAATTAGTATATCCTACATAATGTTTTATGAAAGAGGTAGAGATAATTGTTTCAATTACCAGACTCTTACAGTAATGTAATTTTGGATTTGTAGAGGAATTATGGAAAATATGGTAGAAAGGGATAATAGAAGCTAAAACACCCTTTTTTATTAAGATTTCTTCTGAATACAAATCTTTTGTGACTTTCCTGCTTTGAAATTCAATGTATTTTTTTTCCAGCACACACATGCAGGATCTTCAAGAAGTCACTCAGGATCTGCATTATGAAAACTTTCGTTCTGAGCGTCTCAAAAAAGGTGGAGGAAGGTACAGTGTCAGCTTTCTTATTATATTAAATTGGGTGTAAAAATGAGCCATGTGGAACTCTGATTCTTCTCCTGTTAAATGTATCTTTCAACTTATAATTTTTTGTATCCTTCTTCACAGCAATATTAGAGGTGTTTGAAAGTGGAACTTCACCCAGAAGGGGAAGTTCTGCTTTTCTGCTTCCTCTACCACTTTTGGACCATTTCATATTTTGGGGGGGAAGTGGGTACCCAATTGACAGGTACCCGATCCCACTTCCATCCAAATCGACTAGGCGATGCAAAGTTCTCCCCCTTTGCGCAGCCTTCTGGGACACGTCATGGGTCCCAGAAGACTGTGGGACCATTCACAAAGTGCAGCGCAACTTATGCATGTGCAGTAGGAAGCCACAAGGAATCACAGCCAGCTTCCTTTAGTAAACATTCCGGCGCTCGGGACCCACAGACCAGCCAAAGAATCAGCAAGGGTGAGGACGACACTGGATCTCTGGAGAGGTATTCTTTAGATTAAAAATCAGCAGCTACAGTATTTGTAGCTGCTGACTTTTAATTTTTGGGTGAAATTGAAGCTCCTCTTTAATTTGCAAAAAGAACTTTGAAAAAAAATTATGGAAAGTGAATATTTGGAGAATTAATGTATTGGCAGGGCTGTGATGTACTCACGTTAGCAGTGTGCGAGCTTAGAGCCTGACTAGGGCTAAAGTTTACAAGGACCATCAGCTTATCTTTGTGTCCTAAAAGCTAATAATTTCTTTATATTGGATCCTCAGCTGAAGTACATGGGCACATAGAACAGGCTGAGCTGCCACACAGACTTGTATTGGATTGAAAGCTGTCAAAACTATTCTAGAAAATGGCATACTTTTCTGATTTGCCAGTCAGTGAAAACATACATCCATACATAATGTATGGCTCAATTTGCATTTCACAGAATTCGCATGTGATTTGCACAGGAATGTGGTGCGTTTCCAGTGCGAATCACATGCGATGCACCGCATGAGTGTAAACCTAGCCTGATTTTCATTTTTTTTTTTTTTTTTTTTATTTTATGTTTCTTCTATATTATGCTGCCCCATCAAACTTGGGGTGCAGATATTGTCCACCTCTCTTCCTTCCCATAACTTTATTTTAAAGTTTTTTGAATGGTCTTATTCCTTAAAAGAATACATTCATTTTACCTGCTGTTCTTTTTCTATATCAGTGTGGAGAACGTGGAAGTGTCTAAGGACCAGATACTGCTGGAAAAAGAAGCTGAGGTGAGGAATCCTCAAATTATTGTAAAGTCTGAGTTAGTCTGTTAGACTAGTTTATAGAAAGCCAATATCTTTGGCCTGAACATAGGATGTTCTACATTTCTCCTTCATGTAACTTATCACATTCGTTTCCTAATTTGGCTAGCAACTGTTCACAAGCACATGTGGTGATGGTATACCCACTCCCTTTGCTTGGTAGAAATGCTAATGATCAGCCACTGGCTGCAAGCTGTGTGCTATAATCTGACACAAGCTACTGCTCACTAGGGCAACCCCTACTCTATGCCTTTGTGTCTGGCGCACATTAGTGTGTGTGGTCACACAAAGGTTGTCAACTCCAAAGACATGCTGGTAGGTAAATTGGCCCCAGTATGTGTATGTATGAATGTGAGTTAGGGACCTTAGATTGTATGCTCCTTAAGGGTTAAGGACTGATGTGAATGTACAATATATATACATATAAAGCGCTGTGTAAATTGACGGTGCTATACAAGTACCTGTAATAATAATACATTTGACTATAAAAACCAAAATGTCATTCTATTTGTTGAAAACCCATAGCTGCCTGAACTTCTGATCATGACCCTAGTACATTAGACCTTATATTAATGGGTGTCATAATGGGATGTTTTTGATGTGCTTTTCTGATGCAGGCATTTGGAGAGTGTATTGAGCTAAATGGTAAAATACACACAACTTACTTAAGCTTGGTGCTGCATCACACTGTAGGAATGTGGACTACAGCATGTCTTTTGATATATCAGATCTCACTCTTCTGAGTGACTGTGCTAATCATCTCTCATCCCCCACCCCCTTCCCTGTAGTATGCCCTGACACAACCATTACAAAAAGTTTGCTTTAGAAAAAATCAAGCCGTATTAGCCCAGCAAAAAATAAACCGAATGTGACCAGTTTTCACATACTACAAGAGCGTGCACAACTGTAGTTTTGATGTAATTTGTTTTATTCTGCCTTGTAGCTTCGCCGTATGCAGGAAATGATTGTAAGAATGCAAGCTCAGATGCAGATTCAGAGACAAGAAGGCGATGCACACATGTAATGGTAAGGATACATTTTTCTGCCATTTCGATGCATGCAGTTTTATATTTTACTGTTGAACAATTCTGTTCACAATCATAGTAAAATAGAGCGATGGCAGAGAAAAACACTAAGTGGTTCACCAAATCTGCCCCCTTTGGCTGAGCATAGACCTGTTCGTCCGAGCATTTTTAAATTAATTTACTGCTGACTTCATACCTCTACTGGACGTCTGTTCCAAGCATCAACTATTCCTTCAATAAAACACATAGCATATGTTAAACATTTTCCCTATTCCTTCCTCAACCATAACCTTGCTTAGGCAGCAAATAACCATGTTTAATGGAAGATTATTAAAGGAAGGAAGGTTCTTGTTGCCTCTGTTAAAAGATGTTTCCTTACTGCAATTCAAATGTGGGAGCCACTGATTGCTTTGGACAAAAATAGTTATTCATTCATACACCGACAATCATGAGGTCTAAAAACTCATCGCCAACATTCCTTTATTCCTTTTAAAGTATTAATACCAGAAAATGTGTTTTGTATGCTTTTAGTTTCTAAGTTCACCTTTTGCACCTCATGAAATGGAAGTCATGAGGATAATTGGTGATAAACCCCCAAGTGTCTATTAGAAGGCATTTATTTACTAAAGCTGGAGAGTGCAAAATCAGGCTCACCTCTGCATAGAAACCAATCGCTTCTAACCTCAGCTTTTTCAATTAAGCTTTGGCAATAAAACCTGGAAGCTTATTAGTTTTTTTTTCAGAAGTGAGCGTGATTTTGATCCCAGCTTTAGTAAATAAACCCTATAGTCCTCCAATTGATCTCAAATCTTGTTTATTAAGGACGTATTTGATTGGGTTCTAAGAATTCAGTTCAGCTACATTCATGCTACAGTATGTTGATGTAGCCTTTCTCCTGAGGCTAGCTTAACCTAACTGCTTTTATGATCAGTAGCTCTTAAGGAACTCCACAACTGTATGGATCACCCATGGCAACCAGAAAATACAATAAAGTATACAGTATGTGCAAATATATTATTGAGAAATTAAAATGGTAAGTACACCAATCAGTCATAACGTTATGACCACTGACAGGTTCAGTGAATAACATTGATTATCTTATTACAATGGCATCTGAAAGTCCTGGGATATATTAGGCAGCAAGTAAAATTGTTGTCCCTGAAGTTCATTTGTTTCATTGCAATTTGTTGTGTATGGGGATGCATAGCCACAGACCAGTGAAGGTGCTCATGCTGACCCATGTCTACAACCAAAAGCACCTACAATGGGCACCCGAGCATCAGAAATGGACCACAGAGCAATGGAAGAAGGTGACCTGGTCTGCTGAATCACACTTTCTTTTACAGCATGTGGATGGCCGGGTGTGTGTCACTTACATTGGGGAGAGATGACTTTGGAATGCAGTATGGAAAGAAAGCAAGACTTGCTGAGAGACCTTGAGTCCTGCCATTCATGTGGATGTTATTTGACACATACCACCTACCTAAACGTTGCTGACCAGGTACACCCCTTCATGACAAATATATTCCCTGATGGCAGTGGCCTCTCTCAGCAAGATAATGCACCCTTCATACTGTGAAAATGGTTGAAGAATAGTTTAGGGAACACAATGAGTTTGAGGTGTTGACTTAGTCACCAAATTCTCCAAATCTTAATCCATTTGATCATCTTTGGGATATGCTGGAAAACAAGTCCAAACCATGGAGACCCCACCTCACAATTTACAGGAATTAATGAATCTGCTACTGACAGCTCGGTGCCAGATAACACAGACCTTCAGAGGTCTAGTGACATCCATGCCTTAACAGATCAGGGTTGTTTTGGCAGCAAAAGAGGACTTACTCAATATCTGATTCCTCCTGTATTGAATTGTATTGTAACTGTACTGTCTGCCCTCATGTTGTAAGGTGCTGCGCAAACTGTTGGCGCTATATAAATCCTGCAATGTAATATTAATAGGTGGGTGCTCATAAAGTTATGGCTGATTTGGTGTATGTATCTGATGGGGAAAATAGGCACAACTTGTACTTTTAAAGATCTGTCCTGATAGAAACATAGAGGCTGCCGTCATTGAAAGCGCTATCTGCCTGGCTTTTTCTCACCATTTGGCCTCAATATATTGAGTGACCAGGGACGGACTGACCATTCGAGTACTCGGGCACCACCCAAGGGCCCGGGGTCAGTAGGGGGCCCCATGAAATGCCCCTGGTACACCTTTTTAAAAAAAAAAAAAAAAAAACTTTTTTGGGTATGCTTTGAGTGTGGGCAAGGACACAGGGGCCACATGATCCCCTATTGCTCGGGGGCCCCATGAGTTGTCAGTCCACCACTGTGAGTGACTTGGTACAAGTATGCTACTAAAGACTTCTGACTTGATCTGCTTACTGCTGCCAGGTCACTCTATTAAAGAGTATAGGGGCCACTAGACCAGCACAACAGCTGCACAAATAGACTCTCAGCTGTGGCAGTCCCAGTGTTTCTCTGATGATAGTGTTATTTTAATGCATAGGTTTGTTTACATCCTGCTTTTCGGTTTTACTTTGTGTTAATGCACTGTTTTGTTTTGTTTTGTTTTATTTCTTTCAGGCCTGGATTGACCATTCAGAACAGGAGCTGCAGTCTTAGAGATCTGTTCTCTTTGGCCTGTTGTAATGTTAAATGCTGACATTTTTAGATTTGCCAGATTCACAACGCTGGAGTTGTCAGAGGCATAGTTTTATGCAATGCACACGCTGTATAGAAGCACACTTTATTTAGAAACTATGCTTAATTACACCATAGTCTACTTACTGTTACACAGTGTACACACAAATTGGCACAGGTATGGACATGGAAATGCATGTTATAATCCAAAGCACCACGAGTAGATACATCAATATTAATTTACATTGCATGTCTTTTTTCCCATAGGTCAATGTACCACTGTTCTTGTGCAGTTGTCACTAACGGACCAGTTTGTAAACATACAAACATTTTGTTAAAATTCACCCTTCACTTGAATCAAATAGGCACGTCAGCATTCCCAAACTCCATGATTTTTTTTTTTTTTTTTTTTCAAAAACGAAAAAAAAAAAATCTTTTGCTTGCCATGAAAAGGGCTCCTCCTAAGCTTCCAGCATGGGCAGCCTAAATCACATGGTTCTGACTACCTAGTGAACAAATACGGTTGCTGCCATGTACGTACCAGAATGTATAGCTACGAACCATGCTAACGTTTTTATTACTTGAGTATACACTGATCAGACTGTTTACATTAAGTGAATCTCTTTGAAAAGGCTTTATATTCTGTAAGCAATGGGACGGTCTTAGGCATCATTCAGGACTTGAGCAGGCAAAAAACATGACCATTCCAAAATATTTTATTTTTTATCTTTGCATGCACCAACACAAAAAGCATCTTCCACGTCCATTTCTTTCACAACAGTACTAGCAAAATCTGAGCGGTTTGTTCATTGGAGTAAAAAAAAAAAAAATTAAAGCAAATTTGTATGTTTCCAACTACATTTAAAAAGTGCCTTTTTGTATCCCTTTACCTTTTTATATTGTACTGCAGTTACCGAAAGGAAACCTAAGATCTGTAGGATGATACTGTTGACTTAAAATTGTTCGTTATCTGTGTCTACACTTTGTCACTTATCCAGAACAAGAATGCGGCTAGAAGTCAGTACTCCTTACCTGCATATATATCCTGGATCTTTGAAATATTAAAGCTATTTGGTTAGTGTAATGGACAGGTAACTAGGATATTCAGAAGGAGTGGTCTTGGCACAGAATATTTAAAGGGGTGTAGGAATTGACTTTTACCTCTGTTGCAAAGAAGCAGTACTTACAGTTAAAATGCATGTAAAACCAAAATAATTTTTTTTTTTTTTCAGTGTTTTTATTTTTGACATCATAAAATCAATTTTTTGTTTTCACCATGCTTATCTGTATAAAGTTTTTCTTAAGCAATAATGTTTTGTGAATCATTTGTAAATTGTAAAACAAGTGGAAATCGCCAGTAGCAACACTTCCCATGGCTGACAATGCAAAACCACTGCCTTGCAATTAACTGTTTTGCGTGGCGTGCAGGTTTTTTCAGTTGGCAATTGGGCTGTCTATCTAATGTACTTGATAGACAGCCCAGTGGACAAATGAAGAAGCACAAAGCAGGTTGACAATGCTGATGATTGTGAGACAGTGGGGCAGTAGCTTAATGCTGTCTGCCTTGTAACAGTGCTGTTAATGGCAGGATCTTCAGGTGAGAACCTCTGTAACAGAGTCACAAAACAATTTGTTCAAAGAACTGTATAAAGTGAGACATGATGCCAAACATACTGAAAAAGATTTTGGGTTTAAATACACTTAAAAGCAGTAGTAAAGTTACTGGGGAAAAAAAGACCCCCTTCAGGCTCATGTCATAATGTGCTGGTATGCACCACATACTAGCATATTATGACGAACTTACCTGTAAAACGGAAGCCCTGTCAGTGGAGACAGCGCAACACTGAAGGGATTCATCTTCAAGCAGTCTTCTTTCCTTCCTTGGCTGCTTGAATGGCCGAGCCTTGATGACGTCACCCCCGTGCATGTGAGCTATGGACGCCATACTAAAGTGTGTCGTCCATTGAGAGCACAGTGCACATGCGTCGTTGACGTCACCAGCTGCTATATATTGTAATATCTCCCAAACCATGCATGTTTAAGAGATATTCACTGTACTTACAGGTAAGCCTTATGTAGGTTTGCCTGTAGATACAAGTTAAAAAGCAGAGTTTATTACCGCTTTAAAGATCATCGGCTTTAATGCAAACCTGTAAGTCTGACAGCTTTTAAAAGTGGCTTCGGGAAGATAAGACAAAGCAGCTTCCACCATACGCAGAGAACCCTGATGTTTTCTTTCCTGTGATCACAGCTCTCTTGGTCTTGAGGCCCATTTCTTTCTGCTCCTCTCTCCTACAATTGGTTATGTATGTGATAGACTGCCTCGCTAAGCAGTAAGGAGCCAAGCACACAAGGA